GTCTGCATGATTCCCTGAGATCTTTCTCCTCTCACCTCCTGACTCACTCTGGTTCAAGCTACCCAAGTTGTTCCCTGCTGGCAAAATTCCTACACTCCTGCACGTTAGCAATCACCTCTGAGTACCCTGCAGGCTGGCTCCGGCACGGCTCTGTGTCCTGCCTCATGCTCGACTGTTCCTTCCATGGGAAGGAACTGCTACCTGCTACCTTCCCACCAACAGTTCGATAAATATTTGTCCAGTTCATGAATAGTAAATAACTAATACGTAGTGAACATTTTTTTATCTGCCAGATTTTACTGTGCTGAGACTTTCTGTGTGTTACAGGTATAAATGGATTTGGGATACTCTGGGCACGAAGTGTGTGTGTGTAGTGTGTATTGTTTCTTAATTTTGGTCCAGAATCAAACCAAACCTGTTTCCCGGTCACAAGGACCTGTGGGAACTTCAAATTTATTTAATATTCAGATCATCTTTATTATCCCTAGAATTGGACCTAGTCTACCTGTTGGAGAAGGGTTTAATGGGACACTCACAGAGAGGATGCTTAGACACCAACTGCCTGTCTTTGCAGTAATTCAGCACTGCATGGGATGTTTATTCCTCACTGTATTTTGTTCCCCTGTGGCTCCGTCTCATTTCCTGGCCAGGCCAGCGTGGTGCGTTTCCACACGGGCAGCTCCTATGCCTCCCCGCCAAGCTCAGCCACACAGAATCATCTTACTGGCACTCATGGTCCACTTGGTCGCTACCCAGTCCTCAACTGGGTCCCAGGCAACATCTTCATCTCTGGATCTCCAGCCAGATCTAAGGATACAATCTCTGCTCTCTGAGAGATGGATGGACTGATTTACCTGTTCTTTGGGCAACATTATCTCAACGTCACTCCTCTCCATCAGTATCTGCTAAGAGTTGGGCAGCAGATAGCTGATGGCTACAAGCTCTGACCACAGTAATGATGATGTGAATAGTGGTAACAGCCTTTCCTTCATTCATTCAACAAATATGTGTTGAGCACTTATTACCTGCTACGCAGAGTACACTGCATGGAATTCAGAAGGCCATTAATGCTACAGAGAAGACATAAAGGCAGAAGGAGCACGGGAAATGCCTGAGAAGAGCATGGGGCAGTTACAAGTTGAAACAAAGTGGTCGGGGAAGGCCCAACTGCTAAAGCGACATTGGAGCAAAGAGCCGAAGGACCTAAGAGAGTGAGCCTTGAGTGTACTCGGGCGAGGAGCTTCCCCCGGCACGGGAAACTGCAGGCGCAGAGGCGCCGACACAGGGGCAATCAGGGAAAGGACACCGAGAGTTAACCCCGGGTGGTGCCAGGCGAGGGGCACAGTCTTCCAGGCACCACACTGCTCATTTTCACAGGTCGTCTCGTTTAACCCTTACGACGCCCCTGAGTTATACGTCATTTTACAAGACAGGAGACTGAGCTTCAGAAAGAGTAAGGGACACACTCAAGGCCACACAGCTATTCAGCACAGAGCTGGGATTCAAACTCCGATCTACAGGCACCGAATTCGGGGCCCTCCTGGGCCACACCCAGCACCCCACCTAAGTTTTGTTTCTGACCCTCCCCCAAAACTCCAGCCCCTGCTGTCCACGGGCAAGCTCCTCTCAGCAAGGGCTGCTGGGCAGGGCCCCCTCTTACTCAACAATGGCCCATTCTTCTCCAGGGTCACCCCTGGTCCTCCAGAACCCCGGAACTCAGAACACTGCCGCAGAGGCTGCTGCGCACTCCGTGTGCCCAGGAAACGGTTTCGTTTCTGCCCCTGGATTTCTCTGGAAGAGCGCCCAGCTGCCCACGAGTCCTCTGGTCACAAGGGAAGCCACGAGCCTGCTCCTCCCTCCTTGAGAGCCACAGAATTTGGGGCCCCAGCCTCGCTTGGCCGGCTGCCTGAGAGTGACCCGGCCTCCCGCAGGTGTGAGCTTTAGTGAGAAGGGTGAATCTGACTGACGGGCCCTGCGCTGGGGGCCTTCCCCCTGCCACTGACACAAATTTAAGTGTGAGTTTTGGTATAGACAGCTGCTCATCAGGGTCAACTAGGAAGATGTGGGGGAAAAAAATGATACCCAGACGCACCTCATCTCAGAGCAATTAAATTAGAACCTATTGCGTTTGGGCTTGGACATTAGTATTTTTACGAAAACTCCCCAAAAGATCCTACTGCGTAGTCATGGTTGAGAACCACTGGAAGGGACCACGGGGATTATTATGAGAGTTCAAGCAGGCCGTTCGTTCAGACATTCATTGAGCTCCAAATCTGGTCCAGGCGCTGTTCTAGGAGGTGGGAAAACAGGTATGAACAATGGCATCTACATTCGAAAGTTTTAAAAATAAACAAAACAAAGTACGCTCAGAAGTAATAATACAAACTAGGAAGCAAACGATGGTGTATGGCAGTGCTGGGAGCAGGGGTGAGGTGAGACGGGGCAGCCCCGCAAGACCCTTCTAAGGAAGTGGGGTTTGAACTGGGACCTGAAGGATCTTCCCTTATCTACTTTTTCTCCCCTGCACGTATCATCAGCTGACATGCGGTTTCTTGTATCTATTGATCTCAGTGACTGTGTTTCTCACTGCTAGAGTGCAAGGATTCTTGTCTTCGTCACTTCTAGCTTCCTAGCACGTAGCATGGAGTTCAGCATGCATCAAGACCTTAAAAATACTTGGAGCATGAACAAATGAATGAAGGAGTGAGTGAGTGAGTGAATAGGAGCAGTGACTGGTTCTGTGAGGCCAGCGGGAAGCCAGAGGGCAGGAGTCCTGTCACCAGCCAGGAGGCTTGGTCCCCATTCTGTGCCACCCGCGGCACTGGAAGAATTCTAGGCTCGTGATCCATTCTGCCCGGGTTAGCAGCAAACCTGGCACCTCCCACTGCCCCTTCCCCACGAACTGACCAGGAAGCCCTGGGGGACACCCAGTCCCCTGAAGGTGAGCCCACCGTGGCCCCCCAGGCCCCCCTAGCTGGGCTGGGCCTGCAGCAGCTCCCGAGAAGTTTCAGCAGCTCACTCAAGGTCACCAGCCCAGCAAATGCCACCCAGACCCCTCAGAGAGGGTCTCACAACCTTGAATTTCGAGGTTCAGAGGGCTCCTTGGTGCTTTTGCAAATCTGTCCTCCTTCTGCCAGGCAAGGGATCCGGGACACCAAGAAGTTTTGGAAACGACCTTCAGTGGTCAGGCGCAGGAAGGCTCTGGGTGGTCCTCACTGCCTTATGTGAGCATAACGAAGAAGGTGTTGTTCTAGCGATTTTCCATAGAATAAAAACTAACTCTCTAGCACTTTGATGTCTCCAAGTAGAAAAAGAACTTTTAGATGGTTATTGTTCTTGCAAGTAAATGAATCAATGAACAAATATGCAAACAAGTAAATTAGTTCTAAAAACAAAATTCCATCTAATAGTCATCACACCGTACCAGACTCAGCCAGGGCTGGCAAATGTCATGCTACCTGTCAGGTCCTGGGACATTGTGGGTCCTTAGGGACCCCTAAGGCTGGGCTGGCAGTGATGAGCCCTTTGGCTGAGACACAGATACGAATTAGGTGCATCACTCAGCTTTCCAGAGAGCCAGACTGTCCACCTGCCTTCGTGTTTATCTAAACTTGCCTTTGTTGATCTAACTTGACCATGTGGTTCTCAAGTGACAAACTTAATGATAGAATTACCTAGGACAGGCTTGGAAGACACAACCACCCATTACAATATCCGAGTCTCATTTGGATCTCAATTTAAACAAACCTAAAATCTATGAGACAGTCGGGGTCATTTGCGCACTGTCTGGACATTGGATGATGTGAAGACGTTATTGTTCATTTCATTAGGTATGATAATGGTACTGTGGTCATGTGTTATTTTTAAAAATCTTGATCTTCTAGAGATTTATAATGAAATATTTATGGGTGAAATGATGTGATTCCTGGAACTGGCTTCAAAATAATCCAGGGCAATGAGCTAATGAGAATATAAATGGAATAAGATTGGTCATGATCGTAACTGAAGTTGAGTGATGGGTACTTTGGAGGGTACATTGTATCATCTGACTATTTTTGTATATGTTCAAAATTTCCCAAATAGAAAGTTAAAACAAAACAAAAGAATCATCAGGGAACTTTTGAAACATGTAGCTATCTGGGCCCATCCTAAGCCATTCTGAATAAATTGATCTGCAGTGAGACTGAGCATTAGTAAGGCCCTAAAAGCTCCCCAGGGGATTTTAATGTGTATCCAGGGTTAAGAAGAGCTAACCAAGCACCAAACGATATGCACAGTCCGATTCCATTTATGTTTACAAAAGGTATGCTCACATAGGCATTTGCCACATCTGTGAAAGATTCATTCCAAACTGCTAACAGTAACTTTCTCAGTGGTGGGATTTATGGGAGACTTTTTTTCTACTTGACATATGTTTATTGTATTGTTTGGAACTTTCACACACATGTATTGTAGTTGTGACTTTTGAAAGAAAATATTGACACTTGAGAAAATTTGCTCAAAACTCAAATGGGGTACACTGTAAGATAGTGAGCTTTCCGTCACAGGAGCATTCAAGCTGCATCTGGAGGAGCATGAAGCAGGGGCCTTGTTGACAGAGGGGTTCCTGGGAGGCTTTGACGGGGGATTGGACCAGTCATCTCTGAGATCCAGAGGCTCACCCTAGGACTCTGGAATGGGACCTTATCTCTGCAAAGGTCTCACCTAGTGTCTGGGAAGCCAGTGGGCTCAAGTGGCCTGTGCCTGCTTGGGCATCCTGCTGCTCCAACTGGGGCCCTGCTGCTCTGAGTGTCCCCCACGCACTCACCACTGGGCCTGAGGTTGGCCAAAATCTTGACTTCTTGTCCAGTGCTGCTGCCAAGCTGTGGGCACTGCTGGGAGGCCCTGGGCAGTGCTCGGGCCACATTCACAGACTGGCTGGGCAAGGAAGGTGGGGGGGTGCAATGACGTGGGGCTGCCACCTGTGTTGATAAGGATCTTCCTGCCCCTGCAGGACAGCCATGGAGCTACTCTGGACGCCCCTGCTGCTAGTGGCCTCTTGTGCCTTTGCCGTCCACAGCCTACCAGAGGAGGGCACCGGCGTTCCCATCATCAACACAACCAAGCCCTTGCGCATCCTGGAGGAACGCAACCTGCTGGTGCTGACGCCTGCCGGCCTCACCCAGATGTTGAAGGAGACCCGATTCCTCATGGTGCTTTTCCGTGAGTGTCCTCTCTCCCGGTGGCGGGGTTGAGTAGGGTGAAGCCTGCCACCTTGCTTCTGGGGGCCTGAAGAGTTTTATATATTGCTCATCTGTACAGAATGCAAGGGGTGGGTGGAGGTGTGGCTGAAGTATTAAACTGGGTGGCCTGGGAAGGCTTTCCTGGAAAGGGAACATGTTAGCAAAGACCTGAAGGTGGTGAGAGAGCAACCCATGCAGCTATTTGGAATTTCAGGCAGAGGGAACAGCAAGTACAAAGGCCCTGGGGTGAGCGAGGGTGTGCCAGTGTGGTGAAAACTGAGTTGTTGAAGAGTAGAGTAACAAATTGATGGCTGGCCCCTGAGGATCCAGAAGGGATTAATGACTATCCTGAAGTCCCTATCAGCTGTGAGCTCTTCTGCACACTATAAATGGCCCTATGGAATGGGGAGAGGGCTAGTCTCAGAATATTTTTTCATGCTTGTCTAAAGTTGGATCTAAAGTAGAGTTTCTCATCCTCAGTTCTATTGGCATTTTGACCGGATAATTACTTTGTTTGGGGACTAGGGGCTGTCCTGCAATTATAGAATGTTTAGCAGCACCCCTGGCCTCTACCTATTAGATGCCAATAGCAAATAGCATCCCATTCCCCAGATGTGACAACCAAAAATGCCTCCACACATGGCCAAATATCCCCCATTGAGAACCACTGGTCCAAAGGAAGGCAGACTCCAGCTCGCTGTGCTGGGATCAATCTCTAGCCCCTGCACTCACCGCCTCCCCATCCATCAGCCCCGCCCCTGACTCACAGTCCCAGCAAATGGAACCTGGGGTTATCTACTAAAGACCCAGGCAAACATTGATTCTAGGTCCTTTAGCCATTGACACATCTACACTCCAGGCAGACGGTCAGGGAGCCACTGCCTATTCTAACACGACCTTGGGGTCCATCTGCTCACCCTGAAACCCATGTGGAGCTTTATAGTAGGCCTTGGCCTTGGCATGGGTGGTTTGGTGCTGGTCACTGTTCTCCTTTCTCCAGTAGCCGGAAGATCTATTACTACTAAAGGGACATCTCATCTTCCCAGAGAGAGTCCAGTCAGGGCAAGACCAAAGATTCTCCATCTCATCCTCATAATGGCTAATGTTTATTGGGCATTTCTATGCCAGGCTTTGTACCAAAGGTTTCCACACCTTGTCTTATTATGTAGGATCACTCCAAGGTGTAGGATCGATTAATAACCCCATTATATGAATGAGGAAAATGAGACACAGACACGTTAAAAAAAAATAAAAACACCTTTCCTGGGCCACCATCACTGTAAGCCACCATAACTGCCTCTGTTTTACGAGATAACCTAAGGAATTCACGTTCATTGCGCATTCAGGACAGACAATGAGCTGGGTAAGGTGTAGCCTTTGGGGGCTCTAGGCCCCCCAGCAGAGGGCCCCTCTGCCCATCCACGGCCCACAGGTGCTCTGCCCAAGTGCCAAAATACATCCAAATCATCTCGACGCCCCGATGAAACTGGCATTTCCAGTTGGCCGGGGCAGCATCAGGCACTGAGCCCTGGGGGGTGTATGCGTTCATTTCATCTTTACAAACTTGGATCCAAAGTTCCAGAGCCCCAGAAGTAAAACCAATTTGCAAAATTTTAAAAGACAGAAGCCAGAAAATAGAACTATAAATTTTAAAGAGTGAGTTGAATTCTATGGGTTCTGTTCTGATGGGACTACCTGGAGCAGGGCAGATGGGAACACACTCCCATCACTCCGCTCCAAGGAAGAGAAACACTTTTTCACACCAGTTGGCCAATGTGGTCAATTACAGCATGAATCTTGGAGTCGGTCAGCCTTGGAGTTGGGTGGGGAACCTGTGGCCTCAAGGCCACCTGTGGCCCTCCGGGTCCCTAGGTTCAGCCCCTCAACTGAATCCAAACTTCACATAACAAATCCCTTTTAATAAAATTTGGATTTGGTCAAGAGGCTGCCCTCAAGGATGCGGAATCTATCAACAAATCCAGTCAACTCCTCTTCTGAAACCTCTCATTCCCTCTATTACCACCAGCCTGGCCCAAGCCATCCCCACCTCTCACTTGGATTATTTCAGTAGCCTCCAACTTCTCTACCTGCATCTGCTCTTTTTCTCCTTTGATCTAATCTCCAATTTTCATATAACATTCAGAGAAATCCAGTTAAAAAGCAAGTCAGATCGTATCTACCTCTGGTCCAAATCCCCTGGTACCATTCCACATTTCTCAGAGGAAAGGTCAAAATCCATTCAATGGTCTGCAAGACCCTCTTCCATCCACTTCCGACCCCTACTCAATCTGCTGCACACCTGATGGCCTTCTTGTCATTCCTCAAACATGTCACACATATCCCACCCCAGGGCCCTTGCACGTACTGTTCCTCTACCTGGAATATTCTCCGTCCAGACATCACTTGCTCCCTCATCCCCTTCCAACTTTATCAAAATGCTGCTTCTCAGGGAGGCCTTCTTTAGCCTCTCTACTTCGACTTGCAGTTTCCTTGACACCCCAGCCTCCAACCCTCCTTCTCTTTTCTCCATAGCACTGATCATCCAACACAGCATATATTTCACTTCTTTATTTTATTTTCTGTCTTCTTCAATGACAGCAGAGATTTTTATTTATTTGCTGTGATATCCCCAATCCCTAGAACTGTGCCTGGTACAATATCCTGAAAAAGATTTGTTGAATGAATGAATAAATGAATGCATGAATAAACGAATGAAGGAAGAAAAGGGATGAACGAGTCCCCATTTCTATTATCTTAGGGCCTGTCCATCTAGCTGTCAGACCCCAGCATTCCAGTTGTCACAATCTCTTTCTGTCACTTCCATTTCAGACACTCAGGGGCCCAGGGTGGTGTGTGCAACCTCTCAAATTTGCTCCATCATTTAGACAATAATTGCAAGTGTTTCTCTTGCCCTGAACATCTGTCCTTAGAAACTTAGGTTTGGATGCTACATCAGTTAGCAGCCCTGAGCCCACATGGCCAAATCCACAAGGAAGCCGGGGAGAGGCTCGCGGAGCAGAGTGGGGGCGGTGGGCCAGTGCCTGCAGGTGATGATGGATGGGAGGTTTCGAAGGCAATGATGGGGATACAGCGCATCGATCTGGGAGGGAGGCACAAAGTCCCCGCTTCCCGTCCATTGATTGGGAGTTTAATGAAAGTGATCATTCACTTGCAGGTCCCACTGCAGGAGCAGGTGTGCTGACTGGCAATGGTGCCCGTGCCAGCTGTCCTAGGGCCCGGCTTTCTGCACCGTGCTTTACAAAGGACCTCTCTGTTGGACTTGGAACTGGCCCTCAGCAGTGGAGGTGGTTTGCACTTGCTCCAAGTGCTCCAGATGGACAGGGGGCGGAGGGGGCTGCTGAAAAAGATGAAGTGTTCTGGCTTGAAAGGGAATCAATGACCCCCTGCCCTGGCTCGGTCCACCTGCCTCAGACCAGGGGCCGTGAGGGACCTGCAGTCTCACAATGTAATCAGGAGGAAGAAAAGCAAACTTGGGCGCCTTTGAATCCCCTCTCTTTTAGCCAGAAAGGCCTCTCCCACTGCCAAGGTCACGTCCCAGCTTCCTGAGGCTGTTTTCAGACAAGGGCTCCCTCCCCGCACCCCATCGCCCAGCAAAGTGAGGGGCCAAGGAACCCGGAGCATCAGATCCCTTCAAGGACAGTGTCAGGTCTCTTCGACGATCCCCCCCGGGGGGTGGGCTCAGAGGGGGCAGGAAAGCATCGTAACCTCCCCTCTCCCCGCCCTTCCCACACCTGGCCTTCCTGACTGCCAGAGTCCCTGCTGGAATACGTGCAGTACAGGGTAACTGCAGGGACCCAGTTTGGCCTGTTAGCACCAGGACGTTCCACCAGATGGCGCCCACAAGGTATTTCTCGCTCTTTCTCTGCCCCGCCGTGATTTCTCACCACGGAAATTTTATGAGGCTAATAATAGCAGTAGTAATAATGCATCATGTGGCACTACGTGCTGGGCCCGATGCCAAGTGTTCTACATGCCCAGCAGAGGTCAGAGAACAGGAGCTCTGCAGCCAGACCCAGTGGGCCCTTACCTGGCTATACCGCTCACTGTCCCATGGCCTTGGGCAAGTAGGTCATTTTGTTGTGACTCAGTTTCCTCATCTATAAAATTGAGATAATAATACCTACCCCTCAGGGTTATCGGGAGAAGAAAATGACTTAATAGATGTAACGTTCTTGGAAAATAATAAGTACTCTGTAACTGATTGTTAAATAAATCTCATTTGACTCTGACAACTCCATGAAGCAGCTGCTAATATTTTCCCCATTTTACACAGAGAAAAGTGGAGTTTAGACAGATCTAGGTGCCCAAAGGTGTCTTGTTTCCAATGTTACTGACTGCAAAGAACCTTGATGTACATCTCCAAAATTGTCCAATTTCATGAGCCATTGTGTCTCATATCTTGTCACATTTGTGAAAATTTAGCCGTTAACAGCTGAGAACAAGAAAGGCCCAAGGGCTACGAAGGCCAAGCAAAGACTCCACCTGGGGAGACGGGGCGGGGGAAGAGGCTCTCACGAGTTCTGTCTTCACCCCGGCTCTTTCAGACAACTCTTCCTCAAAGCAATCCAGGAACATGGCTGAGGAACTGGGCAAAGCCGTGGAGATCATGGGCAAAGGCAAGAACGGCATCGGCTTTGGCAAAGTGGACATCACCGTGGAGAAGGAGCTTCAGCAGGAGTTTAATGTTAAGAAGGCTCCGGAGTTGAAGCTGTTTTTTGAGGGCAACAGGTCAGAGCCCATCAGCTGCAAAGGTAAGGGTGCTTGTGTATCAAGGTTATCACATACTCACGTAAAGCCCACTTGGCAGCCAGAGGGTGGAGGTGGGAGGCTCTGCTCCACACAGCCTCTCAGGGACCCAGGCTCCTCCCGGCTAGCAGCTCTGCCCTTCTCTAGGGCCTTGGAGCCAGCTGCTCTTCCCACAGCATCCAACCAGCAGTTGGGGTAAGGAGGCCAAAGATCGCTGTGGGTGCTGTTCATGACCCTTGCCTAAAAGTGGGCAACATCACATCTATTCACATCTCATTGACCAGTATTGTGCTGCATGGCCCCACTCAACTGCAAGAAAGGCTGAAAAATACGATTCGGCTCTGTCTCATGAAGAAAATGGGTTTTGATGAATATACGGCTGCCTCTACCATAGCCTGCATCTCAGCTGACGGGCTCCAGGCACCAGGAGGCGGGAGGGTGGGGCGCGATGGCTTATCAACTCCTGGAGATGAGACATTACATTCCTAACTCCACCTCCCACCCCCAACCTTCCACTTTAGAATGATTTTGACAAGGTCCCCAGCCAGGGAAGCTGTCGTTAGCCAAAAGGGAGTCTGGGAGATGAGGGAACAAGAAAAGTCTGGGATGAGGTGTCTACCGAACACTTTAATTTCTATCATGATTTGTTCCATTGATTCTTTAACTCATTCACCACGCCAACACTCATTTGTTGACAACCTATTATGTGTCAAGCCCTTACTTGATGTCAAGGATATTTGGAGAATTATGGGCCTCGGTGTGGTTCATGGTGGATCCTAATTTTGGAAAAGTTACATATAGGAGTGCTTACATGGATGCAGAAGGGATGGATGGATGGATGGATGGAAGTAATAAAACAGATGGACACAGAAGTGCCCAGCACAGCCCGACTATGCTAGTAAAAGTTCCCGTTATATCTGTGTTTTACATATAGATAGCAATATACATCGTTGTGTGTGGATATACATACTGAGTCTCCGGACACGGAGGAAATGCACTGCCTCTCACAGGGTCCGGCACATAGCCGGCTTCCAATAAGCCGGACTGAGCGCGACAAGAACCCCAAATGCTGCGCCTGCAACATGCCTTGCAGTTCTCAGAATGGACACAAGAGGGCACGAGAGACCCAGGACAGACCCAGAGCAAGGTGCTGCCAAAGAGAGACCCTGGCGGCAGTTACCTAAGAGACATGGCAGGGCCGCGGCTCCCAGCTCCCAGTAGGCCTGTGGGAAGGTGGTGCGTGTGCGGAGCACGAAGACTGATGGGAGGAAAAGGCAGGAACAGCGAGAGAAGCAACTGAGACTGCTGCTTCCTGTGGATGCTGAGGGTGACCCTCAACAGTGGGGACGCACTGAAACCAAGCCAGGAGCCCTTCGTGGTGTGCTGGCTTTGGGGAGGGCTGCGAGGAAATGAGAAGCCCCAGGGTACTTCATCGGAGCCCATGTCTGCTCACGGAGGGGCTCAGGTGCTGGGATAGCCTCCCCTGCAGAAGGACAGGTGACACTGGCCTCCACTTAGAGGCGACAAGCTGGCAGTGAGTCAGGCTGGTAGAGAAGGTCCCCAGGAACTTTGACCTCTGAGCCCACTTCATGGGAGCAGGAGCAGAGCCAGTGCCTGGGACCAACTCTGCCATGAAGGAACCTTCATCATCCCCTCTCCTAGCCGGGGCTGGGACACAGGATGCCTGGAGATTAGGACGAGCACAGGCTGTGGGAACAAGCCTTTTAGGCCTGAACTTGCAGTTTCTGAATAATGCCAGTGCTGCCTACTTGACAGGCTCCCCCAAGCTGAGAGAGGAGACAGCGCTTTACACATGTCCTGCGATGTGACTTCTATGAAAACTTCTCTCAGGAGGCAGGGGGGGTTCAGTCCTTGCTGGGTCAAAGCCCCATCCTGCTCTCTAATCTCCAGAGACTGAAGGTGAGAGATTCGGCCTTGGCCACCCCCTGGAGGGAGGAGGCTCGAGGCACCTCTGGGGCCTCTATTAATGATGCGTTCACAGCTTGTGCTCGAAAACATGCAGCCCAGCTCCGGCGCCGGTCAATCATTGACGCGGCGGTCACACCTCAGTTGTCACTGTGTCCTCTGGCTCAGAGCCAAGCACCAGAGGAGGCACCGTGCCCGACAAGGGCAGTGCCCGATCCGCAGACACTCGGGAATAAACAATCGGCTAAGCTCATCGCTGCCTCCACCCCGCGGGGTCCAGAGGGGCAAACAGAGCCCACACGTCCCAGAGAAGACGGCCCAAGATCAAGTTCCCTCAAGCCAGCTTACCTAATGATTCATTCACCTTGTTCATTCGTCCTAGAAACATTTCTTAAGCACCTAGTATGCGCCAGGCATCGTAGGAGCTACTGGGAGCTCACACTGAACAAGCTAGCAAAAAAAAGTCATATTAATACTAATTTCGTAAAGTGATAGACTCAATGAAGAAAATGGAACAGGTCACAAGATGGAGAGCAATTGGGTAGGGGGAGGGTAAGAGAAGACCAACCCGAGAGTCAAAACAGCAGAAGGCATTGCCCCGGAAGAGCCGAGGAGAGGGCAGCACAGGCGGAGGGACGGGCAGATGCCCAAGCCCGGTGTCCCGCAAGATAATCGTGCGGCTGGAGTGTGGACGGGGAGACGGTGGCACACGGTGACGTCACAGCGATGGTTCTGACGATCCGAAGTTTAAACCCGTTTGGAGGATTTTTGTTCGCTTTTTTTGATGCTGTCAGAATTTTAAAACTGATCCCTTTCAGGGCACTTACTTACAACATACTTTTGCCAGACAAATGCCTGTAACAGAAACTGTTTGTTTCCACGTGTGCCGGTTTTTTTCCTAAAGGTGGCTGGGAACACAGTGGAAATAGAAGCTTGGCTTTGAGGCTGAAATCTCAGAGCAGGGGGTGATAGCAGGGTGGAGTACCACGGTCCGAGGGTGCGTGAAGCTCCCCACTTCTGTCTCCTGAAGCCATCACGTCAGCCTGGATGAACTTCCACAGCCTGACTCATTGTGGCTTTTCAAATGGCCTTAACTGTGTCTGCTAAAGCTGAAACACGGCGTCTGCTAAGACCAGAAATTCTACTCCCGGCCACAGACCCAACAGAAGTGCGTACAATGTGCCCCAGACACATACATGGATATTCATTCACATTAGCCCCAAGGTGGGAACAACCCAATGCTCATCAACAGGGAATAGACAAATAAATTGTGGAGTATTCGCCCAGTGGAGTTCTACACAGCTGTGGGAATAGATCTCCAAGTACATGAACAACATGTATGAATCGCATGAATCCAGACCCGGGAACACACATCATGTGATTCCATTTATGTGGAATTCGGAAACAGGCAGGCTAATGTACGCTGGTGGGAGTTAGGATAGTAGTTACACCTGGGTGGGGGCCCGGGACGGTCTGGAAGGGACACAACAGGAGCGTCTGAGGGGTTGGTAGTGTTCTGTTTCGTGATCTGGGTGGTAGTTACACAGGTGTGTTCATTTTATAAAAATTCATCAAATTATACATTATCATTTGTGTAGCTTTCTGCATGTAAATATACTTTGTTATAAGTTTTCTAAAAGGCTTACTGTTCTTAGGAAATGTAAGCAAAGATACTGAAAGTAGAGCCTTTTGCAGTTGATTTAGTAACTCAGGGTGCAGTCATCAAACCCCCTGCACAATAATGTGTCCTGCCACGGGGCCTTTGCACAGACTGTTTGCTCTGCCTGGGCCTTTCTCTCTCCTTACTGCTCCCTGGTTAACTTCAATGCATCCTTCAGTTTTCAGCTCATATGTGATTTCCTCCAGGAAGCCCTCCTTGACTTCACAGTCTGGGTCAGGCATCTTTGCTACAGGTGCTCATAGAACTTTGATTTCAAACACTTCCTTTGGGTGTGATAATACACTTGTGTGTGTAATTATTTTTTTTTCTTTTTGTTTTATTTCAGCATATTATGGGCGTACAGATGTTTAGGTTACATATGTTGCCCTTGGTCCTCCCCCCAAGTCCGTGTAATTATTTGATTATTGTCTTCATCAACAGAATGGGAGCTGTGAAACAGTGGTAATGTGTTTGTTTCTGCTCACCACTATATCCCCAGGACCAAGTACAGAACTTGGTAATAACAGGCACTTAATATTTATTTGTCAAGTAAATGGATGAGCGAAGGAATAAATGAGTGAGTAAATGCATAAAGGTCTGTGGATGTAGTTCAAAGCTACTCACAACAAACACTGCTTTATCTCATAAACTCATTTAAAATGCTCCATTCTATCCCATAGCAAACATGGATATGAAATGCTATTTTACCTTACTTGACATCATGTGAAATCGATCATCCCAGGAATCACATGTCCTTCCCTGTGCAGACCATTATGTCTTCCCAGATAAGATACACGTGCCCTAATTTTAGAAGCTAAGACTTCTGTGTGCTCGGCCCCTCCCATCTAATAGTTAAGAAATGGAAGTCAGGAGTCTGTGGTCTTAGAGGACATTTGGGTCTCAGCTGAGGAATGGAAGGCATTTTCCCAAGGTTACGGAGCTGGGTGGCCTTTATTTTGTATTTTATTTAAATAAAAAAAAATAAATCCATCTTCCTGTTGCCCTGGAGGGTACATAAGAAAAGAAGGCTGGAAATGCTGTCTCCTAGGTTTGATTCCCCAGGTGTGCTTGTGTGGTGGCTGTTGGCAAGTTGAACCTTGTTTTCCTCATCTGCAAAATGAGGCGAGTTCCTATCCTATAGGGTTGCTGTGAAGATTTAATATATGCAAAACACGCAGCACGGTGTCTGGCCCTTGGTAAGTGCTCGGTAACGTTTAGCTGCTGGTGTTCGTGTTCATGCCTTGGAGCTCAGGGAATGGAGGAAGCAACCTTGGCCTTCAAGGATTGGGAGCCCAAGATAAGATACATCTGCTCATTAAACTTGGGGAAGGCAGGCCTTGCTCCAGTTCAAGAATGCACTTCTGTGGGACCCACTTGACTGTATCTCTCTCCAGGAGTGGTTGAATCTACTGCCTTGGTCGTTTGGTTGAGAAGACAAATCAGCCAGAAAGCATTTTTGTTTAACAACAGCGTGCAGGTGGCCAATTTTGTGAAATCCAGGCACCTGGCCATCGTTGGCTTCTTCCAGGTACCGGGGTATGGAGGTGGGAGGAGGCTTTCCCTGCGGGGGAGACGTACTGTGCCGGGGGCGGGTGGGGCGAGGAGACTCTTCCATTTGGGTTGTCCCAAATGGGACAATTTTCCCTATCTAATGAGATGGTTTTCTGGGATAGCTCCAGGGTCCAAATGAAGAAAGAAAAAAATAAAAGCTAAAGTGGTCAGACAAGCTAGCTAGAAATATAGACAGGAATGGAGAGAAAGGAGAGGAGACTGACAAACACATTTAATGAGTTTTCATAGTGTAACCAATCTTTTTGGGGTCCATTTAGAAGAGTGGTCCACAACCTTTTTGGCACTAGGGATCAGTTTGATGGAAGACAATTTTCCACGGATGGGGATGGGGGTTGGTTTCGGGATAATTCAAGCACATTACATTTATTGCGCAGTCAAACCTCTCTGCTAATGATTATGTGTATTTGCAGCCACTCCCCAGCGCTAGCATCGCCGCCTCAGCTCCACCTCAGATCATGGGGCATTGGATTCTCATGAGGAGCGCACAACCTAGATCCCTCGCATGCGCAGTTTACAGTAGGGTTCGCGCTCCTCTGAGAATCTAATGACACCGCTGATCTGAAAAGAGGCGGAGCTTATGCGGTGATGTGAGCAATGGCGAGTGGCTGTAAACACAGATGGAGCTTCACTTGCTCCCCTGCCTCTCACCTCCTGCTGTGCGTCCTGGTTCCTAACAGGCCGTGGTCCAGTACCAGTCTGAGGCCAGGGGATTGGGGACCACAGATTTAGAACATCACTGAATGAAAGGATGTCTTATTTTCTGGTTTGAGAGCCATTGTTCTCTAGGATGCTGACAGCCACCAGCCATGCTTGGGCCAGGCCAGTCTCTCTCCCTAACCTCTCTCCAAGCTTCCCCATATATTGAAACCAACAACACGTTGTAAACATGCACCCATTTGAAAATCCACCAACCCTCATCATAGGTGCAGCAGGGGAAGATATTTGGGGAAGGATATAAATGACTGAGATACAATAATGCAATGTCTCATGATAGCTTTTTATTGATTTTTTTGTATTTATAAATCATTTGCAAATTGTTTTTGCTTTTGGAGAATGAGTTTTTCATGTGTCTTGACTCATTTACTGTAAACTGATGACTCCTCTCCTGCCCCGGTAGAAGTCAGAATTTTGGTGCTATATTTATGCATGGGGAGAATATGTGCCTCTCCCGCTCCCACCTGCCACTTCTTTGAGAGAGTTTTTTGGCCTTAATTTTCTTTCAAGCTAAAGAATAAGGGCTGAAACTATAGCCTTATCTTGATAATAAGTTCACCTTTGTTATTACATGTGGTCAAATCAATTGCCTTTTTTGAAAGCAATTAAGAAGGAAATGTTTTTAAAAAATTGTCTCAATCCCTGGGTTAGAACAGCCTTTACTCTCATAATTGAAAAAGGTCAAGTTTATCAATTCTCTCCATTGATCTCTGAGGACTTGCCTATTTTGGCTTTAGTTGTAGCCAGAGAAGCTCTCTGGGTGTGAAATACCCATGCAAGTGGATTGAAGTGACCCAGCAAAACCACACAATTTGGAAAAGTGAAGAGACGAATCAGCTACCATTTCCATCTTCCCCTTAAATAAGCCAGACACATGCTTTCTACCAAAGCCTTACGAAACAGTCTTTCCTGAACAGGATTTAGAGGAAGAAGTGGCAGAATTGTTCTACGACACGATCAAAGACTTCCCAGAGCTGACGTTTGGAGCAATAGAGATTAAGAATGCTGTCGGGCGTTTCCATGTCTCCCTTGACAGTGTCCTGGTGTTCAAAAAGGTAAGACTTCGATCCTAATGCTAGTGAGGGGGTCTCTAGTTCAAAGTAGTGGGAAGCATATGGGCTTTGGATGCAAATTCTGGTTCTGCCACTTGTGAGCTCAGTGGTGTTGGACTAGCTGACGTCTGTGAAATCAGTCTATTGATGTTTCTCTGGCCTTTCTAGCCATGCACCATTGTAAGCGTCTCTTTCTTTCTTTCACCAGCAAATGCCACTCATCAAGGCTCACTCCCATCCCCTTTTTCCTTTTGGTCCATGCTTCCCCTCTACCCTCCATCACCAATGACCTCCTATACTCTACACCCATGACTTATAAATATCCATCTCCAGCCAGACTGCTCTAATCTCCAGACCTTTATGTGCAGTACCAGATGCCCCAACATGGCCAAGCTCAAAATCATAATATCCTCTCCAGATCCTCTTCCAGTGTCCTCTGGGAATGGTGTCACTACCACTCCTATACAAGCTAAACAAACCAGTAAACCCAGGTATCATCCTAACACTTCCCTCTTTTCTGCCTTCATAACCAACCCATCACCCCTAACCCTATTGGTTTTATAACCAAAATATCCCTTGACTCTATTTCTCTCTATCTCTTTGCTACCATTCTAGCTCAAGAGACTGTCATCTCCCATCGTCTATTGGAACAGCCGCCCAACTGGTCTAAGCATATGCTTAGAACTGTGGCTGGCATAGCGTGAGATCTCTAATAGGTAGTATTAGACTGTTGTTATGACCATCAAAGAGTTTAGACTTTATCCAGAGGGAACTGGGGCTATGAAGTGTTTAAGCAAGAAAATAATGACATAATCAGATTTGTGCACTAACAACATCACTCTGGCTAAAGCGTGTGGGGGGCGGGGGTGGGTGTAGATTGTAAAGAAGCAAGGGAGAAGTTGGAAGTCCATTGGAAAAGCACTGCAGGAATCCAGGTGAGAGGTTTGGGCTAGGGTGGGATTGGTGTAGATGAAAAGAAGGAGATGGAATAGGTAGCTGCTTCCTGCTTTTTCACCTACTGACCTTGAGATACAGAGAATTATATCCTTCCCTGTGTTAGTCCAGGTCCTTCTGAGAAGCAGTTACCAAGCAGGATTAGATTGCAAAATATTGATTAGGGGCAATGCCTCCGAAGGCAAACAGAATTGGGGGTACTGGGAGAGCCTTTGGACCATGATGAAGGTCTGACCCTTTGGAAGGAGGGAGGGTTGAGTGGAAGAGTCTTTGACTGCAGTAGAGTTCTAAGAAATTTTATCAAAGTCACCTATCAGGGAAGTTCCAGATCTCCTAGGAACGGGCTTGCCTTGGTATTCCTGAGGCCCTCAGTTACTGGTTGAGAGTAGGGTGTGGGAAGTTGCTCCACCTCTGCACAAATATTTTGATGGATTTCAGAGCAGGACAGCTAGCATTGTCAGTCAATTACACTTCCTGTCTGCATAAATCTGAGATTTTCATAGGTGCTACCTACCCAGGTTCCACCCACAGACTAATCTGCCTGCCGTTCACAGTTATTAAGTACCTGGATTATGGACTACACCTGCCGCCATCTCTCACTCGGTGTTTTTCTTTTATCCAAAGGGAAAATTGTGCCATTTATATTTATTAAGTGCCTATATCATGGAAGCTAACTCCTTGCAATATTTTTCTTCTTTTGTCTAAGGGAAAGATCGTGAACCGCCAAGAGCTTATTAATGACAATAGCAACAAACAAGACCTCCTTCAAGTCATAAAACAGCACCTCACAGATTTTGTGCTTGAATACAACATTGAGGTCAGCGAGCAAAGGTTTACCCAAGAGAAGGTAGCAGGGGTGGCTTTGTGTGCTCGGGATGACATGTTTTCCTTGTAATTTCAGAATAAGGATCTGATTTATGAATTGAACATCCTGAACCACATGCTGCTCTTTGTCTCCAAAAGCTCTGAGTCCTACCGTACCATAATTCAGCATTATAAACTGGCATCAAAGGAATTCCAGAACAAGGTTCGTACAATGTGCCACCGCTCTTTGGGGCTCTTGGATGGGCATCCAAGACCTGCAGACCCTGAGGTCATTTACCTGCCCTGCTTATTATAAATGAAGTCAGGAAAGATTTGCATATGTCTTTGCATGCCAATTTCCTGATTTGCATATCAGTGCTATGTATTATTTACTATTTAATTTTCAATCAGCCTCCTCCATTCTTTCTGCCCAATCTCTCTCTCTTTTTGTTGCCAAATCTTCTGTCCTTCTTCATTCATCTTTGTAATAACTATGGGAACATGGTGTTTTGCCCGTTTTCTTGGTGGACTGCGCTCTACTGAGAGTGGGTGACTAGTGTGATAAAATTTGGCCTGAAGGGGAGGAGGACAAAAGACCACACCTTCCTGAGGTCCGGGAGTGAGAAAAGCCTGCAGTGTGAGGCAGC